TTTGAGGTTTTCAGCTTTTTTTGCTTACAAGCATGTCTATAAAACGTTGTGATGAAGCCAAATTTGGATCTTAATTTATCATTCCAGTTACACTATTGTATCTTAATGAATCAAAGCGCGGAAGGATTTATAGCATGTTTGGTTTCTTCACTTTTATTTGGATGTATGTTTGTACCGTTGAAAAGACATGATGCTGGAGATGGTAAGCTTTAAGCTTTTTCTTTTACAGTTCTATCAAACTCTCTCAAATTATAATGAAACTGTGTAGAAGGATTTTGTAATGGGTGTTCGTTTCGTGTAATGAAACTTCAAAATTAACCAGTTTTTATAAACTTTGTGTGATGACAGTGAAGCCTTCTGGAGTGTCACATCTGTGCTTCATTTATTGGACTTTGAAAGATCAGTAAGGATATTTTTTGTAGAAAATCTTTAGCTAGAATGGAGCTGAAGGCATTTGAGTTTAATTTGCCTTAAAGTAAAGTTCTTTTTTCGCTCAGTTGATCAATTTGTAGGGTTTTTTGTACAGTGGGTGATGTGCGCAGCAATTTTTTTGGCTGGTATGGTTGTTAATGTTTTTGAAGATTTTTCAACATTTCATCCGTTGGCGATGCTTGGTGGTTCTCTTTGGGCAATTGGTTTGTTCTGTATTTATCACTATTATTTATTTGTGAAACCGCCGTGTCCTAGAATTTTAAAAACTTCTTTAAATAAATGATTATGCAACTAGGTTTTCTTTCTCGTCAAGGATTTCAAAAATTTTAGAAAAATATTCATTTCAAAAATTTAGGCTTGGTTTCATTGTCTGTAAGTAAAATTTGTTTGTTAAGGGAATGCAACAGCTATTCCAATTATATCGATGATTGGTATGGGTCCAGGAATGTTAATATGGGGAACAATTAACTGCATTGTTGGTTGGGCCACATCACGGTTTGGGCTATTTGGCTTGCAAAAAGAGATCCCGAAATCGATACTTCTTAATTACATCGGAGTCGCTTGTGTCATTATTGGGTAAAGCTTTTATATCTCGTTTTGGTGTTGTTTTTTTTATATGGAAAGTCTACAAGTGGCTTCCGAAAGGAAAAAGCAGTGAAGAGCTAGTTTTTGGTTGTTTTTAATAATGATGTGTTGCTTAGTGGGGTTATCTTTTCACAAGTCAAGTCTCGTCCACATGGCGCTCATGTTACCAACAGTAGTGGAGACTACGTTAGCATCGGAAATACAAGTGACTCGGAAGAAGAAGTTAGCTTAAATCAATTTAGGACTCTGCCGGGTCACAGAGGAAATA